GCACAAAAGTAAGTTCATCACTTAATCTTTGGTTATTTCACTTAATAATTATTCTTTCTAACTAATTGAGTTTGAATTGTTTTTGGTTTAGATGGTCGGCTAAGGGTATGACTTATAATATATGTCCTAGACATTGTATCATTCAATATCGCAATTTGTTGGATCACCTAAAACTTGCAGATGTAAGGGCTCTAAGCTACATCAATTTTTATTCTATATCAACTATTTAATGATCTAATATTTTTCTCTTCTTCAGTTCATATGGCGTCCATATCTAAACATGGAACATGTAACACCCCAAATTTATTGGAATATTCAATTAATTTATTTAAATAAGAATATTCACATTTTGGTAATTTTTGGTGGTGGTTGTGAAATATTGAGAATTATGGATTTTAAGTTATTTATTTAAATAATAGTATATAATATGGATATATTGGTATTATTATTAATTTAAATAAATATAAGTTAACTAAGGGCAAATTGGACAATTGAGGAGGAGTTAGTGAGGGCAGTATTGGAAAGCCCAATTTTAAGGCCCAAGGTTAGGTTTAACAAAAAGGGAATTGTGATGGGATTATGATTCATTTTTGTTAGACCGTGAACAGAATTGAGGCCAGAGCTCTGAGAAAGAGGTTTGAGGCAAAAGCTTCGAAAGGTTTTCTGAAAGATTTGAGAAGGCTTAGAGTCGACAATTAAGGTATGGGGATTATTGCCTTCATTGTTTTCAATGTGCAATTTCAATGTATTTAACGTTGATTTAAGGGTTTAAAGGGTTTGAGGCTTATTATGGGATAAAGGGAATTTGGCCTTTGTGGCCTAAATCTATTATTGAGATTTTAACCGTAGAGGTTTATTTGGGTTAAAGGAAATTAGGCCTTCGTGGCCAAAGCTCTGATTTGACATTTGTCTAACCCTGTAGGAAAATTGGATAGTGAGAAACTCTAATGATTGTGGTGTAGTTGTAAGGATTTATGGGATTTAGAGCGTGAATATGATACGGGATTGACCTAATAAGTCGTACATTTTGTGTCTTTATCGCCGTAAGACCTTAGGGATGTTTTTGGATTATTGGGGAAGTGAATCGTGGGACTTTTGGGTTCATTTTAGGTTCTGGTGCATAACAGCGTTTTGTTGTCATCGCGTGTTCGCACAGCGAACGAAGCTCGTCCCAGACTCGCACTGCGAAGGATCCTTCGCACAGCGAAGAAACTCGCCCCAGACTCACACAACGAATTTGCTAGCAAACGTAGCAGAGTTTCGCGAATTCTGATTTTGTGCAGCGATGCCTTGATGTTTTGATGTTGTGATTTCTTTGATGAATGAATATGAGTATGACTGTGAATTCTATGTGATTTGTACTGATTATATGATGATTCCTACAATGTAATGATTGATGAACTATGATGATATTTCCACGAGTTTTGATGATTCTATGATGACATGATTTTTGATGATGATGATGATTATGATGAACGACGATGCACCTATGATGTTATTATGAGGATGATTATTGACGTGTGCATCATGCATTCATGTGCATCCGAACTTCGGTTCAGGACCTTGATTTTTTTGGCTTCAATCCCATTGTGCGGATGTGAGGTATTTTGATGTGCTCCGGTTCTTGAGTAGAATCGATCCTATTGATAAAGATCTATGGAGGGTTGATGACCCAGTGTCCGTCGAGCTGTGATGATTGGTACCACATGCATTGAGTCTTGTTGCATTTTCATTTATGAGATGATCTTGATTAAATTATGATGTTGTGTCCTTTGATGTTCCTTGATGAATATGACGATGTTGAATATGAAATGACGCCATTTTATATGTTGATTTCCTACATTGATTATCATGAATTATTTTACTCACCCTGCCTGTTTGAATGTTGCCTCCACATGGGTAACATGCAGATGACCAGGTTTAGCCGTGGATACCGTCGAGGGCTTTTAAAGTTTTTAGGTTGTTGGCCATGGTGGTTGACTTAGAGGGTCATGCTCTAATAGCTCTAATAGTGTAACATCGGGTTGGGGTCTTTGAGTCAAACCTTATTTTATTTGATTTGGTTATTTTGATTATGTTCCCGTATAAGGAAAACTTTGGATTATGCCTTTTGAGTTCCGCTGCAATTTTTGATATCTTTTGAGAAAACCCGTTGTTTACGGAGCTTTGACTTACATTTGATTTATTGAGAAATGTACATCCTTTGAGGTGATTTTTATTGAATTTAATAATTTACTCTGATAAATGTGAATACTTTGCCTTTTATTTTGTGGGGTAGAAAAGGGTGTTACAGAACACTTACATGAAGTCAGACAAGAAGATGTTGCTGTTTGGACTGCATGCGTCCCGATCATCAGATTCACAACTGTGGAGATGCACAACAGTTATCGTGTCAAACTACAATATGGAATGCATCAAAATATTCCAGATCCTCCTGTTGACATTAGTAAATGGCATCTAAAAATAGTCAATGATCAATGGGAATTTCCCAACTGGAAGGATTTTGCAAAATATGAGCGTCGTAAATTGATGACCCGCAACGCCCCTGTCTTACGTGACCCGGTGATGGCAACACCATCTATACCAACTATTAATTATATGGCTTGGTACATATCGATTACAACTGAGTTTGTCTCCGAAGACATATATTTATACGACCTACTCCAAACCACCTACACACAAGACGCTTCAATGTCTAATCCACTAGAAAGGCCATGTTACTCACAGTCCCCATCTAACAGAGTTACCAACCCATTCACCGTCCAAACATGCCAAACACCCAACCACAATACCAAGATCGTCCCCTGTGCCATCTCCCACACACAAATTCCAATATGGCTATGGTCTCAACACAACATCAAGATATAGCCATAACGAGGGTACATCATACTATAGCCATAACGCCCAAACATCTTTCCATAGCCAAAATGCTCCGATCATACCCTGACCTACCCACTCAACCATCTCAACAACCTTATGGCTTTCAAACACCACTACCATTTCAACCTTTCTTCAACGAATCGTTCACACCAATGTCCCCCTTTAGCCGTTCATGCCGCACACCAATGACCCCTTCATCACATCCGAACTACTCTGACATGGGCCGCACAATCAGTTTCAACACACAGGACCTAATGGAAATGCAAGAGATCCATTGGGAACCATATGAGAATATTCCTGAGATTTCAACTCCTCAAACACCAGGCGTGAATCAACAACGTGGGGGACGGGCACAACGAGTTAGGGTGCCTAAGGGATGTGGAACTAGTGACCGGTATGACCAACCCGGTCGCCACACTAGTTTATGTAACATTTTTTTAAATTAATGATAACATTTATTTTCCCGTCTGACGTATTTTATTAATTATTTTTGGAAGTATCTATTTTTTTTGATTTTTTTTCAAAATACAAGGGGTCTCTAGATGAATTGGCACCAAGTCGCCAATTAGATTGGAGACTGCACGAGGAGTCTCCAATCCAATTGGCGACTCCCTTATAGTCTTAACAAGGTGTAGCCAATCCACTTAACACCCTTGTGTAATCCCAAATCCTAACTGGAATACTTTGAAAATAATTTTAAAAGGTGGATTATTTTTGATTTTTTTTTGAAAAGTTAGATTATTTGGATTAAAAATTCGATAAACTAACCACACATGAGAGAGTGAATAGACAAATTATTAAGGAAAAAAAATATTTTTTAATAATGTGTTTAGTGGATGGTTAATATGATAATAATGAAGTTAAAAAATAGTAAATAATTATAAATTAACAAATAAAAATAAAATTATTCTTAAGAATATATTCGTGGATGGTTAATATGGTAATTGAATCCGAAAGAAATAAGAAAGTAAATTCCAAATTTAATAATAAATAAAAGACTAAATATTTTTTTTTGGTCCCTTAATTATATTTTTAGATTCAAATTGGTCTTTTAATTATTTTTTTGTGGCAGATTGGTCCTTTGATTCTTTAAAACGTGTTATATTGGTCATTTTCATGTAATTAGCGATGAAAAAAATTCAAAAATCCGTTGGTAAATTCGTAGCTAATCAAACAAAAAAAACTAATATGACACGTTATAAATAGTTAAGGAACCAAATCTGACAAAAAAAAAAATTAAGGGATCAATCTGAATTTAAAGATTTAGTTAATAATTAAAAAGAATATTTTGTCTAAATAAAAATAATTAATTAAAAAACAACTAAAAACTTATATATATATATATATATATATATATATATATATATATATATATATATATATATATATAATTTTAATTTTTAAATTTTTTTTCTTTTATCCATAATCCCATTTTATAATTATATATAGAAGGGGAGCAATATAAATTTAAAGTGAATCTAATTTTTCTATTTTAGAATTACAAGTGGAGTGATATCTATTCAAATAACAAGATTGGAAATTGAAAGTAATATGAAATAGATTTATGATTTACTAATTTAATTATAAATTGTATTTAATATAATCATATATCTCATAATATTATGCAAGACTATCACGTACGGGCAAACGTCTATACCTTAATAAACATGAAAGACTCCTTCTTATTTATTTATAAATAATGTATTAATTAATAAAATTAAATAATCAAGACCCTATTGAAACGTTTAGGAAATTGACAGACACGCGTAATAATAGTAAAATAAAACAAGTGAAAGTATAACAGAGGAAATCCTTCACCGATCACAACCAACGCGCGTGTAAACAAGCACATCCAAATTCACCACTATGTCAAAGCTTTTCAACCGAAATAGCCCTAACCAAAGCTTTTCACCGTAGCGCGTGATAGCCACGACCAAAAGCGAGCACGAGAGTCATAACAAGTGGACCCAAACTTTGATAAAATCATCATCAATTTGCATTTTAAGACACCACAAGTTAAACTTATATTCACTCACCTCTTTGCATTACAGTTTCCTCATTCGCACTTCACCCTATTTTCAATCAATCGCAATCGTAACCTCTCTCGCCGCCGATCAACCATGTCTCACCGGACTTCCGCCACTTCCCTCCATGTCTCCACCGCTCATCCCTTTCCGATCTCCAAAGGTTTCCGTCTCTGATTTCACCGTCTCTTATGCCGCCACTAAACCCTAGCTTCTTCTCACTTTCGATTAACATCGATTTTAATTTAATCCTAAACCTAATTCTTAGCTTCCCTGCTAGTTATTATTTTGTTGGATTAGAAGGTTCTTAGATCTTCACGCCGTGTTAAAACGTCTATGCTTTTTCATCGTGTTTGAAATCATGAACTGTTAGGTTTTTTTGTTTATTCTATACTATTTACTTTTAGTGGAAAAGAGCTATAGATGGAAAAACAGTTAGTAACTGATAAACTGTGTTCTGATTCTTTACATGATTATCTGTGCACTGTGAAACTTATGTCAATAGTTTTACTTTTCCTAGATTCTGCTTTGGTAAAATTTTTGAAATTGGTTAAAAAATTCAATTCTGTTTTAATAACGGAAGTTCTTATCACATATGTTCAGATTTCCAAGGCTCAGAGAATCCTATTCCACTCTCACCGCAGTGGCTTCTGCCAAAGCCAGGGGAGGGAAAACCTGGAGCAGGAACTGTGGTGTGTAACAATTGCCTGAAACTTTTTGAAATAGATTTTTTTGGTGTACTGTTGTAATGTTTTTGTGAACACGTCACTTGAGAATTATTTTATAATTGCTTCTAAGTCAGTCTGTTTTATTTATTTCTCAGGAAAGCCATGTCATCTCAACTCCATCACTTAGCAATCGCTCAGAGATTGTTAAGACATCTGGAAATGGAGAAGATGTGCATGACGACCATAAGAGAAAGGATGTCTTTAGGCCATCCGTGCTTGATTCTGAAAGTGGACGTCATGACCGTTGGAGGGATGAAGAGCGAGACACCAAGTCCTCCCTACGCCAGGAGCGATGGAGGGATGGAGACAAGGGCTTAGGTGATGCTCGGAGAGTGGAGCGATGGGCAGATAATCAATCGGCAAGGAACTTTGGAGAAACACGTCGTAGTACATCTGATAGGTGGAATGATTCAGGTAATAGAGAGATGAATTTTGATCAGCGGCGTGAGAATAGGTGGACCTCACGCTGGGGTCATGAAGAGAAGGAGCCGGAAGTTCTTCATGAAAAAAAGAACGACACTGGTAAAATTTGTGATCTGCACCTGGACAAAGGTTCGTCTCACATTTCTAATCCTGGTAAAGAGGAAAAGGAAGGGGATCGTTTTTCACCGTGGAGATCTAACTCTTTACAAAGGCGTGGAAGGATAGAGCCTTCACATCACCAAAATGTGACACCCAGCAAACAAGTGCCTATATTTTCTTCTGGGCGGGGCCGTGGGGATGATACTCTTCCAGGGGCTAATCACGGACGTGGCCGTGGGGAGGATACACTTCCAGGGACTAATCAAGGACGTGGCCGATTTGGCTCTGGCGGGAGTCCTATAAATAGCTCCTACATGCATTCTCAATACCCTCATACTATAATGGATAAAGTTGAAAGGGAACGTGGAGAAGCTCATCCATTTAGATATAGTAGGACTAATATACTTGATGTGTACAGAGTGATTGATGTGCATACAGCTGTAAAACTAGTGGAGGATTTTGCACAGGTTCCTCCTTTTACTCAAGACGAACCATTGGAGCCTTTAGCTCTCTGTGCACCAACTTCTGAGGAACTGGTAATTGATATTACTGTATATTGTATCTGGATGGCACTGCCATTTCTAGTGGTTTATTAGATTGATTTTCTGTTTGAAACAGACTGTCTTAAAGGGTATTGACAAAGGGGAAATAGTTAGTAGCAGTGCACCTCCGGTGCCAAAAGATGGACGGAACTCAACAGAGTTTGCACATTCAAGACAAATGAAGCTTGGAAATGCAGCTGTCCAAGGTAAATTAATAATATAAGCTTAGTAGGAAGGTTATAACCACTTGCCACTGATTATGAGTTTTCTAGAAAGCTGTTCAAAGTAAAACTAAACACACAGTTATATCTCTTTAACCAACTCGGAAAATATACAGATCTTAAGGCATCCTCTAACCATTTTAAAAATGAAGTATTGCTAATTACTAAAAACTAAATACGACTGGGAGTTGTATATTTTACTACCCCAATAAACTACACATTACAAGGTAAGTTTTGTTCTTACCTATATTTTAAAAGTGATATATTTACTATAATTTAAATTGCTTGGAACCTTGAGTTTTTTTCTTTCTATAATGTTAATGGGTATTATGATTATCTTTGCACATGCATGGTTGAACTTGCTCTTATGTAACAAGTGGTTCTTGCTCCCCCTTTTTGTCTCTGTTAAGATTTACTATATTGTCTATCTGGTCTTATTTGATTTCAACTTTCATTGATACTATTATATATTGTAAATATACTATCAATTGTTTGGAACCTAGAATTCTTGTTTTAAATGTTAATGGGTCCAATGAGTACCTGTGAAAAATAGGAATACACAATTTACAAGGAAAGCGTTAAGCTAGCACTACTTCCTAGAATACATTGAATTTGTTCAAATTGATATACAATGGTCAATGGATCTAAACTACTTGAGAAGTGAACTTTTGGAGAGGTGTAGGAAAGTGGAAGATTAGTGTTTTATTTCCAACAGTATCTCACTTTAATGGATTATACTTTGCTGCATTTGGTTACAGTATCTCACTTTAATGGATTATACCTTGCTGCATTTGGCTAATATGAAGACGGGTTTTCATGTGTCTGAAAGGGCTTTTCTAATACTGTCTATGCAGATAGAGGTGAAGATGGAGGTTCTTTTAAAGTAGCTGATGAGGTGCACAGTAACAGAGAGTCAGCCTTTGAAGAAAATAGTCCTGTTCATCCTGGTACTAGATGGCGTGCCACATCGCTGAATGAACAAGCAAGTACTCTCATGCCTGATAACAAAGATGTGCCTGGTGATGTCAGTTCAAAAAACTCAGAATTGAAGTGGTCACACCAGCCAAAAGATTTTCGTACTCAGTGGGAAAATAATTTGGACTATTTATCTGACACCAGAGATGTAGCTAAGTGGCAATCTAACGAAGATTCAATTGTTAAAAGGCAACTAACTGGATATTTGGATGGTGAACTGGAAAGCAGGAGAGTTCCGCAGACTTCTCCAGAGGAGTTATCCCTTTTCTATAAAGATCCTCGGGGTCAAGTTCAAGGTCCATTCAAAGGAGTTGATATTATTGGATGGCTTGAGGCTGGATATTTTGGTATTGACTTGCTAGTTCGTCTAGAAAGTGCAGCAGCTGACTCGCCATGGTTGCAACTTTGTGATGTCATGCCTCATTTACGAGCTAAAGCCCGGCCACCACCTGGGTTCCCTGCAACAAAACTTGACACTACCGAGGCACCTGTTCCGCAAAGTACTAGTACCTTTGTGAATATTCGTACTGGGCCGAGTGAGGTTGAGAGGTTGAGAAATAATTCCATGCATAGAGTGGGTTCTGCCACTGAAGCTGAAAATAGGTTTTTGGAGTCACTCATGTCTGGTAGCAAGAGCAGTCCCCCACTTGAAAACGTGACATCATCACAAGGTAATAGTGCTTTTTTAATAAATATTTTTGATATAAAAGTATGCCATGTGCTACAATTTCTCTCTATAATATGTACTATGTATTGAGGCCGTTGTGTTTTAGATGGTCAAATTTTTTCCTAATCACATACATTTTAGGAATACAAGGATTTATTGGAAGCAATTCTGGTAATTTGGGCTCGTCTGGAGTTGATGGTGTAAACAACCCCTACTTGCTAGCTCAGAGGATGGCACTTGAACGACAGAGGTCCTTACCAAATCCTTATCCATACTGGCCAGGGATTGATGCAGCATCCCTTCCGCCAAAATCAGTTCCAGATGCATCACCACATTCAAAGCTCATGTCTTCATTGAGTGACAATTCTCGACAGTTTCAGTCCCAAAATTCTGAGTTGAGCTCAGTTATTCAAGGATTAACTGACAGGGCATCCACAGGCTTAAATAATAGTGTCACCGGCTGGTCAAATTATCCTCTGCAAGCTGGATTGGATCCCCTTCAGAATAATATTGACTTGCATCGTGATCAAAATTTTATACCATTTGGAATTCAACAACAAACATTTCAAGCACCAAACCATTTGTCTTTAAATAACTTAAGAGCTCAAACTGCAGATAGCCCATCTAATGTTTTGGCAGCAGACAAGTTGTTTTCTTCTAGTTTGTACCAGGATCCCCAGATAATGAATATGTTGCAACAGCAATACTTGCTGCAGATGCATTCACAGGCAACTGCTCCTGCACAGCACATGCCTTTATTAGATAAACTCCTATTTTTGAAGCAGCAGGAGGAGCAACGACTGTTAATGCACCAACAACAGCAAATGCTTTCTAATGTGTTGCAGGGGCATCAGTCTCAACAACAATTTGGCGGTTTATCTTATGGACAGTTGCAGGGTGGTGGAATAGGAATAGGGAATTTGCATGTGGAACCTTCTCAACGACAACCACCTAATGAAAATGTTCATATGAGTTCTCAGACACCAGTTTCTAGTGTGCATGATGAGCTTAGTGCCAAGTCTTTGAATTTATCTCAGCAAGAAAGCCAAGATACTAGTTATAATAAAAGCGCTGAATCCATGCAGCTTCCTCATCAATTTTTTGGGAATATTAGTCAACATAAAAGTTGGGACATTGCTCTTCCTGAACAAATTAATGAAAACTACCAGAAGGAAACATTGCCTGCATCAGCTTCTGTTGAAAGTTTCCTGTTACATGAGCAGAGTAGAACCACAGAAGAGCCTAATATCGCAGATAAACCTTTATCTGCTTCTGACTGTACTGTTAAATATGTGGAGCAGATGTCAGATAACAATGGTAGCGCTGGTGGTAGTCTTGTGAATGCAGTTTCCGAGTCTGATGAGCATTCCAAACCTGCGCAGTGTGTTGCACCTGTTATTGTAGTGTCTTCGGCTGAATCACTACTGGCAGGTCAGGTGGGTATGGATGTGTCTTCGGCTGCATCACCACTGGCAGGTCAGGTGGGTACGGATGTGGAGATTAAACCAGACGAGCTAGGTGGAAGAGTCGTGTCAAATGTTGAGCCATCTGTGGTAGACGCAAGAGATATTGAAGTGCGTGAACCCAAAAAGGCTCCTGAGAAGAAATCCAAGAAGCAAAAATCTTCCAAATCCCAATCTTCTGGTCAAGCGAAAGGATTGCTAAAAAATGTAACTTTGCAGCAGTCGAAGAATTCAGAATCTGAAAAGCCAAATTATAGTGAAATCAATTTGAAGGAGGTCAATAGGGAAGAAGAAGATTATGAAACACATCTCAAACAAACAAGCGGCGAAGATGGTGTATCCAGAACTTCTATCACAAATGCAGTTCATCAAGAAGTTAGTGACCTCCCTGCTAATATTCCAGAAAGCATCACTGTAACATTTGTTGAGAATGACTCAAAGTCATCTAGTCCTGTTGCCTCCCAGAATACTGAATTGCCTGCAGGGAGAGCTTGGAAGCCTGCTCCTGGTTTCAAGGCGAAGTCTTTATTAGAAATTCAACAGGAAGAGCAGAAAAAGGCACAAACCGAGTTGCCTGTAATTGAGGTTGCTACTACCGTCAATTCCCTCAGTGTGACTACTCCCTGGGTTGGAGTTGTGGCCATTCCAGACTCTATCAAGGTGTCCAGTCAAAATCATAAGGAAGCAAGCAACACTGAAAATCTGGTAAAAACCAAAACTTCTCAACATAGCAAGAGCAAGAAAAGTCCATTACATGATCTATTGGCAGAAGACAGAGAGATTTTTAATGGAAGAGATGGCACAGGTCTAGACAGTATATCATTCTCACAATATATAGCTGCCCAATCAGAACCAATAGATGAAGGAGACTTCATTGAAGCTAAAGACACTAGAAGGAGCCGGAAAAAATCTACAAAATCAAAGGGTTCAGGGTCCAAGATCTCAAAGCCAGTTGCTTCTAGTGAATCACCAATAAGTTCAAGTCCCATTGAAAAGGGAAAAAGCTCCCGGTCTGTACAGCAGGAGAAAGAACAACTGCCTACCATACCTTCAGGACCCTCTCTAGGAGATTTCGTTCTTTGGAGGGGAGAGCCAACAAGCCCATCTCCTTCTCCAGCTTGGACATTTGATTCTGGTAGGGTTCATAAACCACTGTCATTAAGAGACATTCTAAAGGAACAGGAGAAAAAGTCTTCTGCAGGTCCCCCAAACCAATTTCCTACATCTCAGAAATCACAGCAAGCCCAAACTGCTCAGAGTAGTGGTCCTTCACGGACAATTTCAGCTCCAACTTCATTAAAAGCTGTATCTTCTATCCAGATAAACTCCGAGGCTTCTCATTCAAAATACAAAGGGGATGATGACATGTTCTGGGGTCCAGTTGAGCAATCTAAGCAAGAAACTAAACAGTAAGACTTCTTCCTCGTGGTAGTGCTATTAGTGTTTGCTGTATATTCATTCTACACTAAGTTTGCAATTCTTTAATATGTATGTTCGATCAAACTTATTTTCTACGATGCTACTGTACTGAAATGGTTTTGCATTTTGGAATCTGTTAATTATACATGTATATTATGGCTCTAAAATTTTTTCTATATCACAACCAATTATAGCAATAGGTCTTATTCTCTTAGAAAGGATGTGTTTTGCAACTGTGCAACTAAATATCAGTTTTGATAAAAATATGATAACATTATACTATGGAAAGTGACTATAGATTTTTAGATGGTATTATAAGATGTTAAGGTTGATTGAAGACTTGGGTTAAACATCTAGGAAAACTAATTACTTCTATGCTGCCTTGGATTGGACACTGTCCTGTCTCTCTATCCAAGAGCATTTGTGTATTTAGAAGCAATACTAACACATGCAACATTAGGTGTGTGGCTGTTTGCATGAAAACCTTCTTTTGAGGATATGTTGATTCAATATTTATTTTGTTGCTGTTGTATAAGCAGATCAAATTTCCATCAGCTTGCGAGCCAGGGGAGTTGGGGTTCCAAAAATGTTCCCATGAAAGGTAATTCATCTGGATCATTAAGCCACCAAAAATCAGGGAGTAGCAAACCAACAGAGCGATTGTTGTCATCATCACCCGCCTCTTCTCAATCATCGCAGAAATTAAAAAAAGATGCCATGACTAGGAATTCTGGTAAAGATTGCTCGTATTTATTTTAACTGTAATTTCACATGGTTTCCCAGTTCTGGCAAATTTCGTTGGATTGTAAGATGACTTGCTAAAGATATTGAGCTATTTTTCTATTTGAAATTTTCAGAAGCCATGGACTTCAGAGTTTGGTGTGAAAATGAATGTGTGAGGCTTATTGGGACAAAAGGTACCTACCATTTCAGACTTGGTTTTAGTTTTATATTTTGATAGATAAATCCAAATTTAGGTTGACTAAAGAGGTTACCTGCAAATATGTTTTTCCAAATGTTGTCTCCCTAAGTCAATTTTTTAGTATTGGGCTTTGGATGGAAATGTTGGGAAAGATTATTTTTCATTTCTAAATTTAAGAAATTATAAAGGGTGATTGGAATATTATATGATAATCTATCATGTCATTCATTCATTTAAAAAAGAAACTCAAATATATAACATAATATCGACTTAGCCCTTCAAAACCCATCTCCCAAACATATTCTAAAGGAATTAACTGGATATTGTCAGGCATTGGGTGTTCACGTTATCTGTAACTTAATCTCCTATATAACGTCAATTTAACTCTATTTTTTTGGGGTGGCAGATACAAGTTTCCTTGAATTTTGCTCGAAGCAATCAAAATCTGAAGCAGAGATGTTTCTGAAAGAAAATCTTGGATCATATGACCCTGATCATGAATTCATTGACAAATTCCTCAATTACATGGAGTTACTACCTTCTGAAGTTTTGGAAACAGCTTTTCTGACACAGAATGATCGGAAAGTTACTGGAAGCGTAATATCTGGAAATACAAATTTACAGAATCTGGCACAGGCAGATGGTTCCCCCTCAAAAGTTGGAAAGAAAGGTAAGAAAGGGAAAAAGGTTAGCGCTGCAGTTTTGGGATTTAATGTCGTAAGTAACCGGATAATGATGGGTGAGATCCAGACAGTAGAAGACTGATGTCTAACACTAACACAGGTTGTTGCAGAATATGTAAATATGTTTTGTCCATACTTCGTACATGAATTTTCCATTTTAGGATTTTTGTTCATAGAGAGCAACAGTAGCAGCATCAATTGGATCTGCTCAAGCAATTTTGTCATTTTAATATAAAGTCAGCCTTAATTTATTTCTATTAATTTGCTTTTGTTTCATCTTCTTTTGTCTCATCTTCAAGCAATTTTATCATTCCCATTATTATATCCTTGAAAAAAAGGTTATTTATAAAAAGGATTTTTCATTTTTCCCATGTTTGAACATCTTGTCTCAAAAGCACAAGTAATTTGCTCTGATAAATTTATGACACTACAAACATAAATATGCAACTAGCAGTAGTTATTTTCCTTCTCTTTTTGGACCACAATGTGTAGCAGTTCTACATTTAGAAACCTAGACAGTCATAATTTTTTTTTCTTTTTTATTTAGGAGGTAAGATTGTTTCATTTTTAAATGCATGGTCTTATAATGATCCAATTCCTTCTGAATCTTGTCTTGCTTAAGTTTTCTTGATCTCCTGTTGCTCTGCACATGCTGGCCATGAAAAGTAAGAATGTAATTTTCTCAGACTATGTACTATCTGTCTATGTCAGGTCAAAGAAAAACTAAGTTGATAGATTATTTTATTTTATGTGAGATAAGCTTACAAATGGTAATTCAATTTGAAGAGGAAGTTGATGTAAAATTTGTGAGCGCAGTGCCAGTGACATCTTGGCAATTTCTGAAACTGCAGTGTCTCGAACCGCAGGAACATCACTGACCAAGTTCTCGTAAGCTGCTTCAAAAGCTTCCAACCAAAACTGAGGTAATCCCATGGAGTTACTATGACTCCGAGTGTACACATCCCACATATGTCTCACAACCTTCTCTCTCTCCTCCACTTCCTATTTCTCAATTGAAGAACCAAAACAGAAACGAAACTTATTGTTAGTTTGTGATTTATGAAGAAAACTGCTATATCTATATGAATGAATAAATGTAAAATTATAACTTGTTGGGTACCATACCAACACATCCAGATCTTCAAGAATCATAGAATCCAATCCATCTGAGAATTGATTAACGTTGTTTGTGGACCATTTGAGGGTGACTGTGCCTGTAAACATGGACCAAAGAGCTATAAGAACAATTGCTGTCAAGGCACATAACTTGTAGTGCCTATTGCCAGCACTTGCATGCATTGTTTGTTACTCTCTTTGTATGTTTGAAGATGGTTCGTTCTCAGATGAACGACAAAAACGAATGAGTATTGGTGACTGATGAGGGAGGGGGTTTAGCTGTATGTATCCCATAGTTGAAATAATAATAGCAACATGTCTCTCTTTCACACTCAAAAGTCCAAAATATAGTAGCTAAGTCATTGTAGCAAGTGGTTAGTGGCCTAATGGGGTTGGCACATAGCACTTCATATGCTCTTCGCTATTTGACCACTACTATTATAAGTTGTTTTGTTGAATTCATACTAGTTAAAAAGTTATAATTAGTTTTATGAATAACATACAAAAGATGAATTAAACATTAAAAGAATAGAGATTAATAAATAGTACTAAGTGATATTATAAATCGTTTTTATAGCAGATTAAAAACGCTTAAAAAATGGCTAAATGTACTGTCTCTATATTTTTATTTATGTAAAATTTTGTTTCCTCCATTTTAAAATTCACTTTATTTATTTCATTTTCTTTTACAATTTTAGTTCCCTTATCAGTTCAAAATAAAATTTTAAAGACATACTACTTGATGATAAGTCAATGTTACATTTGTAATAAATAATTCTAGCTCATTTATCATTAATATTTATAAATATATTATTTATTTTATCATTTATTAATATTAAAAATTCAAATGAAATAAAATAATTTAATTTTAAAATTGTAAACATATATTTCCATATTCGTATGTTTACGTCATCGTCTTTCCAAGTCGTTACATGCAAAACATACACCTGAAACAAAATCTGTTACATGCAAAACATACACCTGAAACAAAATCTGTATATGTGCTCGATAGTCACTAGTAAAAAAAACAGAATTCAGAAACAAAACTGGAACAACAACTTCTCCAAGGCTTTCATGCTCTCTAGTCGCTCAAATCAAAGAACATAACCTGAAGACCAACTTCTGTCTATATACATATATTTTTGTCTAATTTGCATCAATGTTTAATCCATGTAGTCCTTACTTTTATTAGTTTTGTTTGTCGATTTTTACTTTTATTAGTTTTGTTTGTCGATTTTTGATTTTGATAATGATGAATGTGATCTTTGTGTCTGATTTTGTGGCAATAAAAAAGAAAAAAAACCTAAAAGGAAGCAAAAGAAGGAGAAGAATGATGTTGGACAAACAATTATAGAAAGAAGATCACAAACCCCACAATCAATCTCAGACTAGAAACTATAGTGCTTGAGTTTATGTTTTTTAATATTATTTTGTATGTAATCTATTTTGAAATAATGAGTTTAATTTGTAATTACTGAATTTGCTACTAGTCAATCACTCACCTTTAAATATCTAATTTTCTTTTACACGTTTACACTTTCTTTAATCAGAAACAATAAAGAACAAAACTATTAAAAAACGAAATAGAGCGATTGATTAGTTAAATGGACTATAATAGAGGAACAAAGCTATAATTTAGTTTAATAAATATGATGTCTTCGTTAAATATATATTGTTGATGGAGATATATAGATAATTAACGTAGAATAAAACAGATTTGATGTTAATATGAATATTCTAATATCCAACACATATATAAATATAAGAATTTAATTGACGTATACACTGACAGGAAAGATTTTTTATACTGTCGGTTAATCAGAACTGTTGATTTATTTAAAATATTTGATTTTTATTTTAATCAATTAAAAAATAATACCAATAAATAATGGTGGTAATGTATTGACCGTATAAAACTTTTTATACTGACAGTGCATAATAATTAAATTTTAAATATAAATGATTTGAAAATATTAAAAAATATTTTAAAATTATATATATATAAATTTCACATTTAAATTTAACATAACTATAAACATTTTAAACTATATCTAAGTTGAAATAAAATATATTTAAAAAATAAATACAAAATACAAGTTTGTTTTTAAAAACTTAAATACATTTTAAAAATAAATCTATTAAATAAGTTTTTCTTTTTTTCATTTCTTCATATCTAAAATAATTTTTAAAATAAAAATTATTAGGCATTTTTTATTTTATTTTTCTTTAAAATAGTTTTTTGAAATTAATTAATAAATATTTATAAAATTTAAAAATCAAAATTCCACCAAACCGACACCTAAGTTGTTATCCAACACTTCGGTCCTAATTCCAAAAGATCCGTCGCAATATAGGCCAATTTCCATGACTAACTTCAAATTTAAAATTATTTTAAAAAGAGGATTTCTTAAGGTAGTCTATGTGTTTCTTAAACACTATACAAAATTTTCATAATGTCTATAGTTTTCGGTGATATATCTTTAAACACACTCTTTTTACAATAAAAAAACTATTCTGGATGGCGTCCCATACATTTGCTAAAGATTTATTTTGAAAATATATCTCCGGAATCATTTGGAGAAAATATGAATATTAATCAGTTTAATGAATGTTTCGAAAATATACCTCCAGACGATGTGAACGACAGTTTGAATTTTTCTGTCACCTTTGCATGTCAGATTATTTCGAAGATATATATCTGAAAGTATTTGATATATTTTTTAGTTGCATGATCAATCCTCATTGTTACCATACTTCTATTTCAACTCAAACCCTCACCCCTAAAATTCCTACGTTCTCAATCCCATTTTTCACTACAAATTTCCATCATTTTTGTTCAACATATCACAGGGAGGAAAAGAATATCGAATTTCAAGTAAAGATTATTCATTTCCATCTACATTGCTCAGATTAATCATGAAAGTTTTTGAAAAAAACTTACGCAGTGTCCGAAAATATATATTCGAAGTATGAATGCTAGCCAATGAGTAGTTCTTATTGAACTAGGTCTTCTATAAGTTTGGGTGTTCTTGTATTATACTTCACACAAACTCAAAATGTCTCAAATGTGTGAAATAAACATCTGTTGGTATGTCGCAAGTGTCTCATACTCCAGTGCCTCTACACCGGGAGGACGTTCAAACTCACCGATCTCACCTCCCTCGACGATATCATAGACGAAGTCCACTATCTTTTATCTTACAGAAGGATTGTCAAGCTTGAGTACTGTTCACTATCGGTTGACAACTAATTGAATATTGTGTTCAGTAAATTTGAGCTTAAGACTCGAGCGGATGTTATGACGATGTGACAAACATTTTTCAGTTTTGAAGAGAAAGTTCCGCTCGAGATAGAAGCGACACTATGAAGATCGTTCAAAGATATCTTGGAGATGTGCAAGTGTCCACCGAAACATTGAAATGTAGTATTTAATTTTTTATTGAAATCATCATTGTAATGCTCATTTTATGCTTGGAAAGTTCATTTTGTGTTGATTTTGTCTCTGATTTTATTCCAGAAATATAACTATGATATGGTTTTGAAGATATATCTCCGGAATAAATCTTAAACAAATGCATGGGGCACCATTCAAAATGACATTCTTTGAGTGTAAAAGGGATGCGTTCGAAGATATATCTCTGAAACCTAAGAACATTGTAGAAAATCCGCATGGTGTCTAAGAAACTCATGTGGTGCCTACAGAGATTCTCTTGTTGAACTAAGATCAAGTTAGGCTTTTTGAAATGTTGAACTCTTCCTCTCAATGGGCCCTACTTCTAAGAAATAGAGTTGTCTAGAACAAGGACTGCATCAGGTACCATATTTTCTCTTCCCTTTGGACTAGCATCAGACCCTGGTTTTCAATCATCATGGATAACACAAGGTGGCTCATTGGTAATGGCAAGAATATAAACTTCTGGAACCATGATTGGTCTTTTATAAACTTAGGATCTTTCTTTCAAATTTCTCCTAGTGTTGTGATCAATTTGCAAGCAAGAGTTCATTCATGATTTTATAGTGCTTTCCAAGTGGAAGATTCCTTTTGATCTTCACTGCCTTTTTCCTAATCTCTTGAACTTGATTCAAAGCACCACCATTCCCATTAAGGACTAACTTATTTGGAAACACACAACAACTGGAGACATGCCCCTCAAAGATGCTTATATTTTTTGCTTCCGTCCCTCATTTGGGATAAGTGATAAGCTAATCTCTCTTCTTCAAAAAATCACTTCTGTTCATTGGCATTTCTGTGCTATTGAATTTAATGTTGAACTTAAAAAGATAAAGTTTTTGTTTTCAATGAAAAAATATATATTTGATATCAACAAAAATTGGAGAGTTAAAAAGATAAAGTTTTCACTGTATTTACACTTCCTACAGTTTGAGGAGTTACATGATTATAACTGAATCAAAATCCTAACTCACTCCCACTGCATGCTCCGCACCATCATGTTCTTTCTCCTGATCCGACGGCGGAAGAAAACAATCCATAGACAATCCAACAATGTTGAAATCAATCTCTTCAATGCACCATGTTTCTTCAATCATCTGTTTATGATTATGCGCCGCGCCATACCTGTATAGCGTCGACACTGTCTTCCCACCATGCGCTATGTTAATCCCACCAATGCATCTATAGTCTTCAATCGTAGACTCGATGTTCGTTTCCCAGAACACCGAGTCTTTTCCTTTAACCGCCTTCATTCTAACTAACTTTGTGTCCTCGAATTTTATAAGTAGTCCCGTTCGTTGGCTGAAGTATCCCAATACTGTGTGCATTATGATTTCTGTGTTTGACGTGCTTTGCGCTTGCAGGAAATGCTGTTCCGCTTGTAGTTTTAGAATGAAACACAAGTCTTCGTTGATTTTGTTCTCGCCTACACATTCTGCCTCGAGGAACAAGTTCGCCGTGCACCTCGGATCCAGCCCCTGGTAAGAGTTAACAAGCCAAACACATCAAACAAAATAGGGCCGTCTTAAGTTTTGGCTCTCTGTGTGGTAGTCTGTCTTGCATGTTTATAAAGACGCCTCTGATGAATGAAATGTGCGTATTGAATATTATTATTACCTGAAAGAAGCGACGAAGGGGTCGAGGAGGGCCTTTATTCGAATGAAAAGGTTGAGAAGAAGACTGATTCCATGAAACTTTGCCATTGCTACCAGCAGTGATTTTGAAACCAGAAACAACCAATTCCAAGCACCATAAATCAGGATTCTTCTGCCATAGAACAAAACCTCCTACTTCAGCTTTCCCTCTTGAATTAACACTATTATCATCGGCGCCATGACGCATATCCGATCCATGTATTCTAACTTCTCCAATTGCATACATGTTTTTCAATGAATTCAATGCGCTTTGTCCTCCGGTTGCTGCCACATACTGTTGTATTATGTATTTCCCAATCGAATCTCTCTGTCGAAACATTTCAATCAAAATTATATATCATCATTACTTACTCAATTGAAGTTGAACCTTTTAAACAAAAATGCAAATGCTTACGATGGAACAATCCCGAAGAGGCCGAGTCAAAGTATTGTCGGATTGGACCTGAAAAGGAATGAGGGGAGCACCAACAAGCTTAAGCAATGCAGTGAATTCGTTATTCGAAGGCGCGGATAGACCCGACGACTTATCTTGAGCACTATTCATTAGTGTTTTTAGATTCTGCCAACGATTGAACCCGTTCGTGCCCATGTTTGCCAACATTTCCTCCGGAATAGGCACCTCCAGAATCGTGTCCAGTCCATCTGTTTTGTCAAAATTTGGACATGATTTCCTCATTGCTTGCGTTCCAAGGAATGTTTTTAAGGGCAAGAAACAAGTTACTGAAAACAAAAATCAAGAAAGAGAGAAAAAAAAGTGTTTTCTTTCTCTCTTCCCCCTTTGCCTCAATCGGCTTGGGGTTGATTAGTTTGTTGTGACAGAATCAAATGTTTTTTTTTTGTGTTTGTAGAATGTTTATGTCCCCTAGTGATGATAGGGGAAGCAAAACACACAGGACAGGACCAACCTTTAAGATTTCTTTTTCTAGGTGTTCCTTATCCGTAGGTGTAGGTGTGAGTTTTCCTTTAGCTTATATAGCTTTTTCTTCTATTTTTTTCTATATGGAAATTTATAGTAAGTGTTTAGAAAGGTGTTATGTTTTCCTTCTCTCTTTCTTAATTACTATTTTTACATGTATCATTATATTTTTAAATGATAAAATGCCATAAAAATTATATATATTCTTTTTTATAAATATGTAACCTCATTCAAACAACAATGAAACAAAAGAAGTTGTCGTTCCTTTTATTGGCCTATGTTGTATTGAGGGTGTGACATGAGTAATGTCCAATTGTTTGGTTTGATGTCTTGCATCCATCTTGTATCTGTATGTATAGAATACTTATTGTATTCTATTTGAGCTAATATATTTGATTATAAGAAAAACACTAAAGGAAGATGATCGCAGTGCGACCTAAAGTGGAATGTCTTTTTCCTCTAAATTTTTTGTTGTTTTTATGTTATTTACTGCCTTTTATTTCTTGTAATTTTACAATAGTTAGTTTCCAATTACGAAATAAGCGTCTTGTCACCTAAATTCAAATGTCCTTAATGTTGAGGAGTCCGGGAGAGTCAGGAGCATCAATTAGACTAATACTCTAAGACCACAAGAGAGAGATGTCACATCACAAAACTATTGCAAAAAACAAACAAAGCATAGGAAAAAAAAGAGAAATACAATCACAACACAAGAACATAACGTGGAAATTTCAAAACTAGAGAAAACCATGATCGTTGTCAAATGACAACTAGAAAAAAAATTATGTGAAAATTATTACAACATATAATATACCCTCAACTAACTCAGGTCCCCAGTACACCCACACCCTCCAAAACAAATATGTAACTACATCTCACAACACTCTAACACAAGAATATAAGAGAGTAAAGAAAGTCAAATATAAGTTTAAAGTGTTTTTTACTCGTGCATCTTAGAATGAAGAACTTGAATCCTATATTTAGCCTTGAACTCTCTCTTCTTTCACAAAACTAAACAATGTGGGACTTCAAAGAACTTATATCATATATATAGCCTTGCACTCTCTCTTCATTCACAAGCTAAGCGATTTGAGACTTCTCCAACATATATATTTTCAACCAACTCAACAACTTCCACCTTGATTGAAAATAATATATAAACTTTCATTATCTTCACCGACAATCATACTCCATCATAAAGAGTATCAACATGTATATTTTCAATCAATTTCAACAATTCCCACCTTGATTGAATATAATACATCAAATTCCATTGTCTTTATTGACAATCATACTCCACCATAAAAAGTATAGTCACTTGAAGCTACATCACTTCAAGATTTTTCACATTGTCTTCACCGACAAATACAATCATAGTTTTAAAAACTATCATGCTTTCTCATGAATAATATATTTTACTTGAAGATACATCACTTTAAGAATTTCACATTCTCATCACCGACAATCATATAATTTATCATGAAGAATAAATTTCACTTGAAGTTAAACCACTCCATGAATTTCACATTGTTTTCACCAGCAATCACAGTTCTAAAAAATTATCATACTCCACCTAAAGAAGAGTATACTTCACTTGAAGCTAAATCACTTAAAAAAATTTCACATGTCAAAAACCAGGTTGAAACTTTATGGTGCAACTTTCTTGGTGGCATAAATCTCTTCAACCACCAACGTAATCTTGCACCTTGTGTAATCTTGATTGTATTAACACATCTTTGACTCGAACTTTTCAAAAGTAAAAAAAAAAAATTCTTCCATCAATTTTCTCTAGCCCAAACTGCATAGCATAATTTCTGACTGTAGCTCAATAACTCTTTCACAACACTATCCTTCTTTTTTGATGTGGAAGATCAGAGAAAACTGCAACCACAAAGCATACTAATACTAAGAACACTTATCCCTGGATCGATCCAAAATCTCTTATAACAGTTGTTAAAAAAAACAAAGTATAGAGAAAAAAAGAGAAAAACAATCACAACACAAGAACATAACGTGAAAACTCTAAAACCGAAGAAAAACCCATGACCGTTGTCAAATGACAACCAGAGAATAATATTATGTGAAAATTATTTCAACACATAATATACCTTCAACTAACCCATGCCCTTAATACACCCACACCCTCCAGAACAAATATTTAACTATATCTCACAACACTTTAATACAAGAGTATAAGAGAATAAAGAAAGTGTTTTTGACTGGTGCATCTTAGAATGAAGAACTTGAATCCTATATATAGCCTTGGTCTCTCTATTCATTCACAAAAATAAACGTTGTGGAAATTCAAAGAACTTATATCCTATATATAGCATTCGACTCTCTCTTTACTCACAAACTAAGTGATGTAGAATTTCATTAATATGTATATTTTCAACCAACCCCTACACTTTATGATATGGTAAAATCTAGAGTTCTTGACAATAACAATTCCCCATCTCTTAATGATGTTCAATTTGATTGAAATTCTTGTGAGTTTGGTAAAAGTAAATTCATACCTTTCTAATTAATCACTCAAATGTAAGTCAACCTTTTGATATAGTTAAAAGTGTTTTATAGGGATAACACCCGTTATATATCATGCAAAATATAAATACTTTATCACTTTTATTGACGACTATAGTTTTTTCAATGGATATATCCTTTAAGTTATAAAGTTATGAAGCCTTTAATGCATTTAAATTATTACACGCATATGCTTAAACTCAATTTTCATCAAAAATTAAAATTTTGCATTCTGACAATGGGAATACACATCTCATTTATTTCAAGAATTATTGCAATAAAATGACATATTATCACAAAGTAATTTCCTTCCACACTTCAACAAAATAGGGTAGTGGGAAAAAATAGTTATCTTCTTGAGGTGGTTTGCACCTTAATGGTGGACTAATTTTAGTGTGAATCATTATTCACTATTCTCCACCTTATTAATCACCTACCTTCTCAAGTTTTAAACAATGATTCTCATTATGTAGTTATTTGTTAAGAAATATAATTATCCATTCTTTGCACCTTTGGTTATGTTTGTTATATTCTTTTTCAGCCACGAGAATACACCAAACCCACAACTCAATATGTTAAATATGCTTTTCTTAACTATTCAACCAATCAAAAAGGTTTCTTATACTATGAATATAATTTTCATATGATTCAAGTTTCTAGAAATGTCATATTTCAAGAAAATACATATATTTTGTTCTATTAACCAAGACACTCACTCTTTAATAAAATAATTGGGGTTTCCATTATTTTCTAACACTTTTTTGCAAGAGAACAAACACGCAAAACCTTTCTTGGTCTACCAAAGACGTCAAGTGCACAAACACACCCTTCCAACCATTTTCCAGTTATTGGCCCGACATTTCACCCAAAACCAACCTCCTTATGTTACCTAATATGTGAGTTTTTGGATCGAACTTAAGCTTTGTCGAGGAATAACTTTCATGTATTTCGATAGGAGACAAGCATGAAGTCGAAGATGGATTGTATGCTGTGGTCGAAGGATACATATTGCAGTCGAAATCTGTTCTAATATGTATTGTCGAAATGTTTGTCGAATTGGGCCTTTTGTTATGGATCCAATTGTTTAGTTATCTTGGGTTGCAAGTTATCTAATTAGTCTATATATAAGCTAGATCACTCAGGTTGTTGAGTTAGGCCAATTGCAATATTCATTTATAATCATTTGTAAACCCTTATGAGAAAGTGAATAGTAAACAATTTGCACAAGTCCTTCTTTTTCTTTCTTCTTTATCCTTTCTTCTTTCTCTCTTTGTTCAAACTGTTTTCATTGTTCATCCAAGAACTCTGTTTCACAATCTTGATTTGTTGAAAGGTATCTCTTGTAATCACAACAAACTGGTGCGGTGAGCATGGAGAAGATGCCGTCAACAAAGTTTGAAGTTGAGAAGTTCATCGGAGTTAATGATTTCGGGTTATGGCGTTTGAAGATGCGGGCCCTTCTTGTTCAATAGGGTTTGTTAGAAGCGTTAAATGATTGATATGCCATGGATGTTGCACTGACAAAGAAGAAAAAGACAACAATGATCGAGAAAGCCCACATCACAATTGTTTTGAGTCTTGGTGATAAAGTTCTCAAACAGATTTCGAAGGAGAAGACGACGACTAGTGTTTGGATGAACCTCAAAGGATTGTATATGAAAAAAATCCTTGGTGAATCGTTTGTACTTGAAGCAGGATTTGTATTCATTCAAAATAACTGAAGATAAAACATTAACAGAGCAGATGGATACGTTCGACAAGCTTATTCTTGATCTTGAAAATGTTAATGTTACTATCGATGATGAAGATCAAGCGTTGTTATTGTTGTGTTCTTTACCCAAGTCACATGCTAACTTCAAAGAAACTCTCTTGTATGGAAGAGAGTCCCTGACCTTTGAAGAAGTTCAAGCAGCCTTGTGTTCGAAGTATATGAACGAAAGAAATGAGCAGAAACCATCATCATCAGTTGGCGAAAGGTTGTCCGTAAAGGGGAAATCGTCGAAGAGAGATGGTATGTTTGATAAGAAGAAAGGTAAAACTAAGCAGAAGTCTTATGGTGGTGATATTTATGGGATTAAGTGTTATCATTGTAAGAAGAAGGGTCACACAAGAAAGGTGTGTCCTGAGCGTCTGAATAATCATGGAGGTAAGAACAATGGGAATGCAGCTATTGTGCAGGATGATTATGAATCATCTGATGTCCTTGTGGTATCGAGCAACAACTCTTGCAAAGAGTG